CTCTAAGTTAACACTTTAACAAAATATAATAAAAACTACCATGAAGATGTCAAATTGCTAGTTTCTAAATCCTTTTTTAAGAGACAGAGGGGGGGCGGGCGGGGAGTGCAGGGAGAGAGTGAATCCCAAGCAGGCTCCACACTGTCAGCATGAAGCCGGATGTGGGGCTCAAACTCACAGACCGTGAGATCACGACCTGAGCCAAAACCAAGAGTCGGACGCTTAACCAACTGACTGAGCCACCCAAGCATCCCTGAAGTTTCCAAATCTTCAATTTCAATTCCTTGATCTCCTTACCGTAGACCAGCACCGCCATCTGCGGACCCACTTTGAGCAGCAGTGATGTAAGGCATAGTAAAGATGATTAACACCAGGTATTATTCAGTCTTCAAACTCATTCATTTAACAAGTATTTATTGAGCAACACGTGCTAGATTAATACCTCAGCACTGATCCTGTGGAATATCTGATTCTGAGCAACAGAGTCCTTATCATTCCATCATAAGTGAGGGGGTCACTGTATCCCCAGATTGCTGAAAGAGCTGGCTGGCCTGCTTCATGAATTACTCTTAATTGGCCATGTATATTTTGGCTAGCAATTCTAGTTTTGACATAATTCATGTAAATCTTCCAACAATACTTTAATATCAACTCGGTGCTCCCACAGCATACTTCTGAACCCATTCATTAAAAGAGTACAATATAGAATATCCAAATAAACAGTGATTTAATAATAACCTCACATCACTAGGACACTAAGTGTAAAGCAGAAAACAAGACAACTCCTCTAACCCTGCCCTCCCAGAGTTTACGCTCAAGAAGGGAGAGAGATAATAAACAATCAATACGTAAAATACACTGTATTTTAGATGGTGATACACACTATGGAAAAAAGTAAACAGGGTGTGTGTGTGGGGGGGCGGTCATGATGTGGGAGGCTGAGGTGGAGGGTGTGGGGGTAGGTAACAGGCTTTGCAGTTAGAAACAGGGTAGCCAGACAGGTCCTCATTGAGAAGATAATATCTGAACAAAGACCTGAAGGAGGTGACCATGCAACCCAAGCAGATAATGAAAGAAGAATGTTCCAGAAAAAGTACAAACAGCCCTAAGGCAGAAGCATGCTCCTGGAAACAGCAAGCAGTATGTAGCAGCACATACTCTTTTCATACTTCTGTAACAGCAACACCCAATCACTCTAAAATGCTCCATTAGACTCTCAGTGCTTTGAGGGTGGGAATCAAATCGTATTCATTTTTGTATCTCCAGCTCTCACTTGTTGAGTGATGAAATTGTTTAAGCTACTGTATTCTTACACTGTGATGGTACAGACATGTTTATTCCCTCCCTAAATATCCCTCCTCCCATAAATTTCACTGTGTTCCATGACTATAAAGTCCTTGCTGCCTACCGAATTAGAAATGCCAGTTATCCTAGACTCTTCCTTCTTCACTCTCAATATGCTGTCCATTCTTTTTTACATGATTTAGTGACCCCCAAATGGTCTCCTTCTCTGCAACCTTTCCTCCCAAAGAGATAACTGAAATAAAAAAGACAATTTGCCTTCACTTTTGAATATCCTAATTTTCAATCCAACCTCATTTTACATGTAGCCTGAATGTTTACAAAATTTAAGGCAATCATTACTCCTCCGATTTGACGCTAGCAGTTTCTATCACTTGAGAACTCCTCTGAATCATTACGTTCAAAGGTTAGTATTGAGGTCCAACAATAGATTTCTATGTGGCTATCACTCTCATGGAGAGGTTTCTAGAAATTCCAGCTTAACAGCTTGCATACTCAATTTTCCTTTGTGATTTCAATTGGACATGGTATTCTTCACTTCCCATTGTGAAGTCTGCCGCTGCTGAGTCCCAGCACCGCACAAGCCAAGGCAGCTTTACATTTCAGGGCTTGTGATTTCCGCTAACACGCAGAATGAGCATGCACAGGTGCTCGCTAACTAGCCACAGTAAGGTAAAGCTATGAGCTCTGGGAACCCAGTTCACTTACACAAGGCATCTTAAAGTGTCTTAAGCACCACGTAATAGAGCACCCAGGATTTAGTAAAACAACAACAACAACACACCAAACAACCCCCAAAACCAAAACAACCGAAAACAAACAACCCGGCTTTCAGTGGTATAGTTTTATGACCCCCCGTTAATCTGTTTAACCTGAGAGCTTCAGTTTCCTGGTTTTGTAAAACGAGAGTAATGTTCTCACTAAGTAGTTGCAAGAGCAAGTGAAGTCAAGTGAAGATGCAAAACAAGCGCCAGCGTTGGGGGCACAGGGCTAAACGGCCCAGAGCAGGTTGTTTTCAGGGCTTTTGGAAACTACAAGTCTGTAGGACGGCGTGGAAAACATCTGCACATTTAAATTATCTTAACGGTCAGGTAAAAACAAGTTAAGTATTGTAGAGAAAGGAAAAAGAATTTAAAGCTTCCCAGTCTCAATTGTATATCCTTTCCAGAAGACACGTGGGGATGGGGATTTTACTCACACAAGGTTTCGTCCTCGGTTATACCTCAAACAATAACTTGCTTTTGACCAAAGAGTTAATTTAATGGCAACGGCTTGCAAACAATACCATTTTGGCAAGCAGTTCTTATTTTCAGTAAAAGGTGCAAGAAATAAGCAAGATTTTATGTACACGTAAATCTTGTCTTTTAGTTTAAAAAAACACCCCTGAAGTTTTTTTGGGGGGGGAGCAAAAAAAGAAAGAAATCGGACTTCGGGTCAAAGATCAAAGAGACTGGTACTCACAAAGTACCCAGCGGCTATACATTAGACACAGGACAAGGAGGAGGGACCCGAAGAGGGAGCGGTGGCTCCCGTGCGGGGTCCATTAATTCAGTTTGCTCTCTTCTGTTCACATCCTGCGCGGACTCCACCCAAAGCGACCGAGCGAGGGGGTGGGTGGGACTCACACAGCCCAGCAAATAACAGCTCCAGAAACCGAAACGGAATCGAGGTGAATTGTGAAAACACGGCTCACCAGCAAGAGGGGTGGAGAAGGGGTGCTTAAGGGGACCCTTGGCTGGTGAGGCACCCCTGTCCTCGCTGCTTCCTGGGGGCACCCCCTCCCCTCAATCGCCACCAGTTCCCTCCTCTTGTCCTACACATGGGAGGAGGAAGGCACCGCACAGAGCAAGGCCACTCATCCCTGGAACGTGGGCGGAGAACACACAAGTCTCCCTGAGCGATTCTAAAAGAGAAATTGAGGGGCAGCAACCTGAGAGAGGCGGGGGAGAGGAGGAAAGGAAACCGACTGCGGGGCGGGGGACGGGCACTAAAAGACGTAGCCTGCTAGGGCGGGCGCCCCAGGAAAGAGGGGCTACCTGTTGAATGGAACCGGCCCCGCGGCGGCGGAGGGGGAGAGGGGCGAGGAAGCCCAGCGAGCGGACCGCCGGCTCCGGGGCAGCCCGCCGGGGCCAGTGCGATCCCAGCCCCAGTGCCTGCGGGGCCCCACCCTGGGAAGCCTTGGCTGCAGATACAGAGATGAGAGACACCGACAGAAGAAAGGGGGAGGCGGCCGACTGGAGCCGGGCTGGCCCGCTCCTGCGGTTAGTCACTCACATCTGATACTCGTCTATCGCCTCCACCAGCTGGCCCCAAGAGTCGAAGTCGGCGCCTCTCCTAAAACTGGCGCCCCAGCGCTGCAGCAGACTCCGGGTCACCTCCGACATGGCCGGTGCCCACCCCGTCCCCTCCCGCCCCTACCCCAGCGAGGCCGGGCTCTAGGGCGCCATCCTCCCCGGGCCTGGCCCCGACATTAACAGGGCCAGGAGGAACCGCTACGGCCACCACCGCCACCCGCCGAGGAGCCGCCCAAGCCCATTTGCCGCCACAGCCAAACTTTGCGGCTCCGAAGCGGCCGCCCCGCCGAGGCTCCGCCCCCGAGGCCCCGCCCCGCGTTAGGTTGAAGCCGCCCCGCTCCCCCGAGGGCCGCCATTGCTATTGCGGCCTTCTTCCTCGGGTTTCGAGGCCCGGCCGCCTCCTCTCTTCCTCTCGGGAGAAGAGAACTGCAGCTCATGAGGAAAGAGTGGGGAAGAGAAGCTAGGACGGGGCTGAGGAACGGAGAGCTCTGAGGGGGCCGCGACACGCGGCGCCTCCGCCCCTAAGCGGCGAGCACTGCCGCCTCGGTAGCTCTCATGGCGGCCCGGGCCACGTGACTCCGGCTCTGCGCAGGCCTGGTTCGGCAGCCTCAGCTCCCCGCCTTCCTCTGTCTCGTTTTCGGACTCGGACATTGCCATTCTTCCATCAGGAGGATTGCTGCACAGACTCCCGACAAATCCAGTAAGTTTGTCATGAGAATGGGCGTTTCCCAGAAATACCCCTACCCCTGGCGTTAACCTGGAGTCCCAAGCGATAGGGTCACCTCCCCGCCCTTTATACGCGTTTTGCAGTCTCCATAGACTCCCGGATAGGGATCTAAAAAAGTCTTCTACTGCCTTGAAACAACCGAAAGGGAGAAAATGAATGTTGGCTCTGAGAATCAATCGTATTCGTATTCGACAGTATCGCCGAATCCCTTTGCCCGCGTCTCCACTGGCAACCGAGGACCTTACACACTAAATGGGCGCTTGTTCCGCTGTGGTCCGCCCGCCTGTCCCGGGTGGAGAGCATCGGCTTTCCACAAAAATGCCTGTTCCGATGAGGGACTCCGAGGGTTGGCGCCTGCGCAAGGTCGCCGCTAGCCTCTACGGGACGGGCTGGGGAGGAAGAGGCTGGGTGGTAAACAGGAAGTGGGCGCTCCGAGCTCGGGGGCGGTGCTCAGGTAGGTTCCTCTGGGGGCCCGGGCCTCGCGAGTGGGGGTCCCCTTTCAGTGACCAAAAACGATGGAGGTGGCAGCGTCTAACCGGCCGTTGTGCTGGTGGCTCTGAGAGTACCCTTGCACCTGCGGGTGGGCGTGTCGCTGTGCTATCCACCCTCCGAGTTCCTGAAAACAGGAATGGCAGGTCTCCAAAGGGGCAAGATGGGGCCGGGCCGAGAATACAGTACTTACTCTCTTCGTTCCTGAAGTAAAGATACACAGAACTGCAGACATTTTCATCCAGGCAGTGGAAGGCCGCCTGAAAAGAGTATTAGGCAAATTGTTGTCACAAAATCAAGTGTATTGTGTGCCTTTGCCTCTAGAAAGCTTGATTTACATGCACGTACATGCTGTATTCATTTACTTGTAAAGTTGGTATACGGGGTTATTATTTAGAGGGTTTTATATACATTTTTAAAGGAGCTCGTTAAATGTTTTGAGCAAGGGAACTTGCTCAGTTTTTCATTGAGCATACAATGCATTGAATATCTGGTTTTGTCGTGAATAGGTAAATATATTAAGGGAGGTGCTCAAGGAGGTATTTCATATACTGTTCAGCCCACGGAAATTTTTCCCTGGTAAGAAAAGTCAACCAACAACATTGTATAGTGTCTTTCAGTTAATTACACCTTATCAGAATTTCTTGTCTGTTGGTTCCGGTAATCTAATCGCCACATTTAAGTGTTCAGTTAGGCCTTCTGTATTTGCATTATCTACCCAAGGACTTTTAGGCCACTGATGTGCTGTTTTTTGTTTGTTTGTTCTTGGTTGGTTTTTTTTTTTGTTTGTTTTTTTACCAAAAAGGAGTGGAACTTAATTTTTTTTTTAATGTTTTTTTTTTTATTTTTGAGAGAGAACAAGACAGAGCAGAGCATGAGCGGGGGAGGTGCAGAGAGTGAGAGGGAGACACAGAATCTGAAGCAGGCTCCAGGCTCTGAGCCATCAGCACAGAGCCCGATGCAGGGCTCCAACCCAGGAACAACGAGTTTATTCTCTAAGCTGATGTCAGATGCTTAACCGGCTGAGCCACCCAGGTGCCCTGGAACCTCATTTTTTTAAGCTGGCATTTTACTTAGGTAGTTTTTCAAATATTTTGGGTTTTATAGAATGGAAGTTATTGATCAAGTATTGTGGGTTTTTTTTTTTTAACGAAAATACAGATGCTTATTAGCTATTTCACGGAAAGTGTATTTATCATAGAGACGTGCTGTAACTAATTAATTGGCATAAGCAGTACTGTGTTGGAAATAGTTCATTTAAAACCTATTTACTTTAAGTAAACTTAGCAGTCTAAATAAAAATAAAGGTCATTGTTTATACCTGTTTTGGAAATTACGGTCTCATCCTGTGACCTCCTTACTTGCAGCTGTCCAACCACATTCCAGTACTTTGCTATTCAAAAGGGTGGTCTGGGGACCAGTAGCATTGGCATCTCAGGTCCTACCCTAGACTGTTGAATTAGAATCAACATTTTAACAAGACCCACCTTCTCCCCATGCTAAGGTGACTTTTATAAAGCACATTAAAATTTAAACATTACTGCTCCAGTATATTTAACATTGGTCATTAACTGTGGACAAATTTCCAAGTGCTAAGTTTTTACAGGCCTGATCTAAACATAGACTACAATAAATAGGGGGCGCCTGGGTGGCTCAGTTGATTGAGTGTCCCACTCTTGATTTTGGCTCAGGATCCCAGGGTCGTGGGATCGAGCCCCGCATTGGGCTCCATGCTAAGCCTGAAGCCTGCTTAAGATTCTCTCCCACTCCCCCCACTTGCATGCAGTCTCTCTCTCTCTAAAATATAGAGTACATGGGGCGCCTGGGTGGCGCAGTCGGTTAAGCCTCCGACTTCAGCCAGGTCACGATCTCGCGGTCCGTGAGTTCGAGCCCCGCGTCGGGCTCTGGGCTGATGGCTCAGAGCCTGGAGCCTGTTTCCGATTCTGTGTCTCCCTCTCTCTCTGCCCCTCCCCCGTTCATGCTCTGTCTCTCTCTGTCCCAAAAATAAATAAACACTGAAAAAAAAATTTAAAAATAAATAAATAAATAAATAAATAAATAAAATAAAATATAGAGTACAATAAATAGACATTACAACAAGATTCACTCATGTCAATAAAGCATTTTATTTATATATGCGTATGCTTCATATATATATACTTAAAAAAAAATATATATGTTTTTAGTAAACCTTTATTTTTATACTGTTTACGTTATTAAATGTTTTATGTTTAATTTTTATACACTTCCTTTTTTGTTTATAGGAAACATCTGGAGAAAATGACACATTGGTTTCATAGGAACCCATTAAAAGCCACAGCTCCTGTCGCTTTTAACTACTATGGTGTAGCTGCTGGCCCTCCTGCTTCAAAAATATGCAGGTTAGTTTTAATCTCAATAACTACTGATTGAGCCACTTTTGGATACAAGGTACTTTTTTGGGTTCTGTATTGAATGGGCAATACAGAAATATGTAATACATTGTCCCTGTCTTTAGACGACTTCTAAACTTATAAACGATGTGTGAAGACTTAAATCACAGATTATTTAAACTTTGGCAGTCATCTAAGCTGCAGTCCGTAATTTTAGATCAGTGAGTCCCAGAGAGGCTAAACCAATCACAATGAAGGAGTTAAGCTACAGGTTACAGAAGTACAAGAGACTCCACAAAGTTGTATGTAGATGTTAATTAGCCAGTAGTAGATTAATTAGCTACTGGTTAATTAGCTATCTGGTTAATTAGCCAGATAGTAGATTCATGGAGTTCTGATCAGGGAGAGATCCTGATGACCTAGAATGGGCTTTAGGGTGTTCATATAGGAGAAAGGGCTTGAGTTGGGGTTTAAATAAATCAGATGCCAGTTCATGGGTTGGCAAACTGTCCTGCAGGTTTGTCCACTGCCTGTTTTATAAATAAAGTTTTATTGGAACAGAGCCATGTCCCCTCACCCCATTTATTTACATATTACTCTGGCTGCATTTGGCTGCTTTCCTCTACAACAGCAGAGTATCAGCAGAGACTTTATGACCCACAAAACATTATAGAAAAGGTTTGCTGATACTTGATTTAGATTGTGAGAAGGGACAAGAGAAAAGCATTTCTGTCAGGAACACTTATTCTAGGGATAGTGAGTAGAGCAGTTTGGAACAAAAGAAAGAGATGCAAAAGATACGTCAAAGGAGGAGTAAACTGGCCAGGTATCTGATTTGCTCTGGGAAGTTGAAAAGGATTCTGTCTGTATGAAACACAGAACCTAGACGATCAAGACCTTGATGGCACCAGTAATGGAAAGTTGAGAGTGTTGCTGCTTTTTCTGGAAAGTAATTGGAGCACAAGGTGGGAAAACTGGCTTATTAATCTAGATCAGAGGTCATCAAACTTTTTCTGTCAAGAGCTAAATAGTAAACATTTTAGGTTTTGTGTGGTCATGTATAGCTGCTGTTGCATATTCTTTTTAAAATCTTTTTGTTTTTTATTTTTTTTCTTAAGTAACCTCTCCACCCAACGTGGGGCTCAAACTCGTGACCCCGAGATCAAGAATCGCATACTCTTGTTGCATATTCTTTGTTGATTTTTGCAAACACAAGTGGTGGGCCATACAGAAACGAGTTAGAGGCTGTAGTTTGCCAACCCCTGATCCTAGACTCCCAGAGGCTGGTCCCAGCTTACCTGTTTTACCTATAGCATGAGTCTCTTAACTTCTTTGGGTCTAATTATTCATCTGTAAAATGAACAGCCTAAATTAGATGTTTATACGGTACATTTTTCTGAAATTCTATAATTTTAAAGTGAACGTAACTTTACTCAGCTGGGTTGCAAATGATGATTGAGTGCCTGCTTGGAAATAGCTAGCAAACTATTTGAGTCTAGGCCTTAAGAATTCTTTTTCCCCCCTAGTCTGGGAATTACTCCTGCCTAGCTTCCAGTTAAATAACTCAACAGTGACACATTAGTAAGGTAGACCATCCCATCTCTCGTTAGTTGTATATAGTTGTTGGCTTTCTTGGAATAAGCCTTCATGGAGCTGATACCAAAGAGTAAACATTCCATCTAGACCATTTCAGATCAAGTCTGCACTGTCCTCTAAACATCACTGCTACATCATACCTCTTGTAAATCTTAAAATATTTTAAATGTTAGTATTCTTTCACTCAACAAAGAACCTTGAGTACGTGCTTTATCCTAGGCACCTTTTAAGTTCTGGATACACAGTCCCTAGTCTCTCAGTGCTTACAATTTAAGTGTAGTCTTACTCATTTGTATACAAATGTCTTCAGTCATTGTCCCTTTAATACGATTTCTGAACCCTCACTAAGCAAGTTACCTTCTGAAATCAGATGTGGAACTGGAACCTGACCAAGCTGCATCTGGTGGATGTAGATCTCCAATCGGATACAAAGTTAAGACCTCAGAGAGAAAAGCAAAAAGCCAAAGACTAAACATTGTTGAAGGTGGGAATAGAAAGGGGACATGTCAGGGGCGCATGGGTGGCTTAGTCGGTTAAGCTTCCTACTCTTGGTTTCAGTTCAGGGTTTTGTGGGTTCGAGCCCCGTGTTGGGCTCTGCGCTGGCTGTGCAGAATCTGCCTGGGCTTCTCTCTCCCGCTTTCTCTGCCCCTTCCCCACTTGGGCTGTCTCTGTCTCTTTCAAAATAAATAAGCACTTTAAAAAAAAGGGGGAGGGCGGGGGGGACACGTAAAAAAAAAAAAAGTAGAAGGCACTTCTAGAGATAAGAGGAAATCCTGGAATATTTTGTGTTAGTAGAATAAAGGGAGAAGAGATTTCAAGAAGGAAATGGCGTGGAGCTTGAACCCATGAACTGTGAGATCACGACCTGAGCCAAAACCAAGAGTTGGGCGCTCAACCTACTGAACCACCCAGGTGCCCCTAGAATGCAATTCAAAAGTAGAGTTTCCTACTTGGGGCGCCTGGGTGGCTTCTGATACCAGCTCAGGTCATGCATGATCTAGCAGTTGTGAGATCAAGCCCTGCATTGGACGCCATGCTGAGTGTGAAGCTTGCTTAGGATTCTCTTTCTCCCTCTCTCTGCTCCCCCCACTCCCCCTGCCCAAAGTTAAATAAATAAACTTTTAAAGAAATTGTCCTTTAAAAGAAATAAAACAGGGTTTCCTACTGAATAAAGTATATTGAGATCATGTCTAGTTTTGAAACGTAAGGAGATACTAGAATTGTGTAAACATTGTTAAATTTCTATTTTTCAAAAAACTTGCATTGTGAACTGGTCTATTTAATTTACTAATTCTTGATTCCTTTCTCCCATCTTAAATGCTTGTGTTTATTTGATGTTTTTAAATTTTTTTTTAACGTTTATTTATTTTTGAGAGAGAGAGAGACAGAGTGAGAGCGGGAAGGGGCAGAGAGAGAGGGAGACACGATGTGAAGCAGGCTCCAGGCTCCGAGCTGTCATCACAGAGCCTGATAGGGGGCTTGAACTCAAGAACCACAAGATCGTGACCTGAGCTGAAGTCGGATGCTTAACCAACAGAGCCACCCAGGCGGTGTTTTTTGATGTCTTTTAATGTTTTATTTATTTTTGAGAGAGAGAGAGAGAGACAGAGCATGAGCAGGGGAGGGTCAGAGAGAGAGAGGGAGACACAGAATCCGAAGCAGGCTCCAGGCTCTGAGCTGTCAGCACAGAGCCCGACGTGGGGCTCGAACTCACAGACCGCGAGATCATGACCTGAGCCGAAGTCGGACGCTCAATGGACTGAGCCACCCAGGCGCCCCTTTTGATGTTTTTTAAAATATAGAATGTATATTTTTATTACATAATTGTATACATGACTTGCCCCTTGGATTGGACTGAGTTTATTTTAGTACAACTTTTAAAACAGTTGTTACCAGAAATTTCACTTACCCCCAGTGTTAGTGCTAATTAAATTCATTCCTGTGTACTCTTAGTCATACCTTAGAGGAGGGTGGGTGTGTGTGGGGGGGGTGGGGGTGTGTGTGGTATTTTAAAGCTTTTACCATTGAAACTTTTAATCCACTTTAACATAGATTCATCGTAATTCATGACTTAATTTACTCTGTCTCTCATAAGTGACTTGAGATCGTCCAGAGCACGACTGCTTGAACTCTTCACTGATTTGAGCTGTAATCCAGAAATGATGAAGAACGCAGCAGATTCCTATTTTTCACTTTTACAAGGTTAGTTATTTATAGGAACTTCAAAGTTTTTGAAAAACAGCTATGCGGAAGTTCACATTTAATTCTTAGACTTTACAAATCTGAATAGTCTAGTCTTCTAGTCTGTATTCTTTGGTATATTTGAGTTTCAGAAACATGAGAATGTAAGGGCAGTGTTGGTCTTTCTAATGTTTTGAAAAGTAAATGTGTACATATTTCTTTTTTTTTTTTTAATGTTTTTTATTTATTTTTGCGACAGAGAGAGACAGAGCATGAGCAGGGGAGGGGGAGAAAGAGAGGGAGACACAGAATTGGAAGCAGGCTCCAGGCTCTGAGCTGTCAGCACAGAGCCCGATGCAGGGCTCGAACCCACAGACCATGAGATCATGACCTGAGCCGAAGTCGGACAGTTAACCGACTGAGCCACCCAGGCGCCCCAGTGTGTACATATTTCATATTATGTTACCTTAGAAGGAGATGTGAGATATAAAAAGGGAGGGGTGGCAAGGTCTTTTCTACAGGTATCTGGAAAAGTCATTATCTGAAAAAGTTTGTAAACAGAATACCTGATATTCCTTCTAAAACTAAAAGGCTGTACCTTTTTATAGGTTTCATAAATTCCTTGGATGAATCTACCCAAGAAAGCAAGTTACGATATATTCAAAATTTCAAGTGGACTGATACATTACAAGGACAGGTTCCAAGGTAGGTAGTGCGGACAGTACTAAATAGAAGCCATTTTTGTAACTATTTGGCCAGTGGTTAACCCATTGCCTCTGTATCTGAAGAAATAGAACATAGATCTGATCAGCATTTTCTCCTATCGGGAAGCTGGTTAAAAACGTTTGACCTGAACTCTTAATATACTCAATTAAGTAAAAATTTAAATTATTTCTCCTGGATCAAATCTGTGAGATAATCCATACAAATATTACCCAGAATTCAACAGTCTTAGCTGTATTAATAACATGCAAAGAATGGTTTGGGAATTTGGAATCCAAATCTTTTGCCTACCTTTAAGCAGAGCACAATTTTGATTTTTATCTAGTTTTCTGATGGGTACTTCAGATACCTTTGGTCAATCTCTTTCTATTTGTCCCGGGTTCTACCCCAGCTCCATACCCTTTTGAGTCATAGTTTTATTTTTTTCCTAATTTTTCTTCACCGTTTCTTCTCTTTTAAAAAATTTTCTCTCAAAACTTGCTCTTCACACGCTTGAAACTAATCAGAACAGATCTAGTTACAACAGGAACCAGATCATAATGGTGCTAAATTTTTATTGAACTTTTTTTTTTTTTTTTAAGCACCATTGTGTTAAGTGGCCATATTATCTTGATCTCAGTTTGCTGTAGAAAACTGTATAAAGTCAGAAGGGAAGGAAATGGAGATTGCTGAGAGGCCCAGGGCAGCCATGGCAGTGGCAGGAGTGTGGACTCAGGCGCTGTGTCAGGTCTTGTACTGTGTGAATGCCTGCTTCTTCACATCAGATCATGACCTGAGCCAAAATCAAGAGTTGGATGCTTAAGCAACTGAGCCACCCAGGTGCACCTCTCTTATTATTTAAAGGTAAACTAATAAATTAGATATGCCTACTAGATCACCAGGTGTAATTCATTTGAATGTTCTGAATGCTGAAAAGAATAAGGTTTTAAACTATGCATTAAATTTTTTTTCAGTGGGGTAAAACGGTTTTAAGAGTTTGTTCATGGAGCGGGGGAGCTGGCTGGCTCATTTGGTAAAGCGTGCAACTCTTGATCTTGGGGTCATGAATTCAAGCCCCACGTCAGGCCTAGAGCTTACTTTAAAAAAAAGAAAAATTATAAATTTTGTTTAGTGCTCACTTCAGCACATACACTGAATTTGGAACAGTACAGAGATCAGCATGGCCCTTGCTCAAGGATGACACACGAATTTGTGAAACATTCCATTAAAAAAAAAGTGTCAATATTTTGTATGTTACGTTAAACAGGATATCACAAGTTATTTTTGAACGACTAATGTTTTATAACACCCCCCCTTTTTTTTAATCTAAAAAACGTCCCTTTCTCTATTCCTTTAATGATGGTGGCAACAGTTAAATAGAAAATAACAAAGTGGAATCACAATTCTAGTTTCTTTTTGGCTCATTTTTCTGTGTGTTAGTATTATGTGTATAAAATAAGGGTATTACTTCTGTTTTCATCATTTGAGACAGATGAAGAATTTCCAGGGTCTTTTCAGAACAATAGTGATTTAAAAATTGGCATTACCTTATTTGCTTTAGTAAGCCCTTGTCATCTTCTTTGTGTCATATTTAGTAATAGAATCTGAAGGAATATGCTTGTTTTTAAGACCTTTTTCTTTGTGGTGCATGTACTGATAGGCTTGGTATTCAGTGTCTTTACCAGTTTCACTTCTGTTTGGCTTTTTGACCTGCTCCTCGATTTTTTTTTTGCAAACCATGTGCTCCATCATGCTAGGTGGGTCACTGCTCTCAGAAAAATGTTGATCCTTCTTGTGCCTTTAATAGCATCATTCCCTCACCTGGGATGTCCTTCTGCTTCCCTTCCCACCATCTTTCAAGGCACAATTCAGAGACTGTCTATACCATGAAACCTTCTTGAATCATTCTAGCCTGAAGCAGTGTCTCCTCTGAATTCCATTTTTTTAAAAATGTGGTATAAGAACCACCCACTCCAGAGTCAACTGGTTACTTACTGAAAGTGTAGATTCTGGGCCCCTCTCAGACTTTCTGATTCTCTGGAGTTAAGTCCCCCAAATTTATATTTTTAAAACTACTCTGTGTACAATAACCTTTGAGAACCTACTATTCACATGTTTACTATCATGAAGTACATAGTGGGCTATTGTTTTTAGTCATTAATCATAAGGACTGTTTTCTTCATTTTTCCAATTAGCATATAGTTTTTATAATTTTGAGTTCAATGTACAATAGGCTTCATATAGAGATGTGTCAGTAATTGACAGAAGTTAATGAACATGTTTATAATTCTAGTGCCCAGCAGGATGCTGTTTTTGAATTAATTTCCATGGGATTTAATGTAGCCTTATGGTATACCAAATATGCTTCAAGACTGGCTGGAAAAGAAAAGTAAGTCTAAAGGGGAGGGTTATATGCATATATGTTATTTTTTCAAGTATATGGAGTTTCATTATTAAAAAGTCTAAGCTACTGATAAAAAGTACCACTTCTGTTAAGTGTGAGGTTGCCTCATAATGTTAGTGTTTTAAGTGTCAGAATTATGGAGCCCAGTGTTGGAAAGAAAAATTAATCTTGTCAGAGGTCTTATCTAAATGAAACCCTATACCAAGAAAAGGAAAAAATTGAATATTGGACTGCATAAAAGTACCATAAATAAAGTTAAAAACAAATGACAGATGGTCAAAAAAATCGTAATGCATGTGACAAATTGTTTTTGTAATGGAAAATAAAGAGGAAAGGAAAAGATCAACAAATCAATTGAAAATAAGTGAAGGACATGAACAGGCAGCTCCTAGAAAAAGAAATACAAAGATAAGTATGTGAAAAATGTTTTGAAGGATTAAAGAATTGTGACATGAAATAAGATGCAGTTTTTATAATAGTAGACGTGGATGTCAGCAATATGAAACTGGCAACTATGAGCTGTGGTACATGTGAACATGTGTATAATATGCAGCTATTTCAAAATAAAGTTGAATTGTCAGGGCACGAGGTTGGCTTAGTCAGTAGAGCACGTGACTCTTGATCTCAGGGCTGTGCATTAGAATCCCACGTTGGGTGTAAACATTAAAAATAAAATCTTAAAAAATAAAGTTGAATTGTACGTGCTGTTGTAAAATTATGTCTAAAGTAATTTATATGATTAAAATGAGCAGAATAGTGAATATTGTGTGTGTGCGTTTTTTTAAGTGTGTGCATGCACCAAGTGTAGAATATTTTGAACTTGTTTAATGCACAGAACATTATCTGGAAGGAAAAACTAGACCTATAGATAGAGTTTTTCTTTTTTTTAATTTGTAGTATCTTCTCTGGATATTCCTCATGTGCATTTGTTACTTTTTTAATTGTCAAATCAGACAATTAAATCAGACAATTAATTGTCTCACCACTAGTGAGACACTAGTGAGAAATAAATGACTAATTTGGTTTTATGATAATTCACTAGTTGTTGGTTTTAATACAAGAAACAGGATTCATCCTCTAACTGACGTAATCACTGTCTTTAAGCATAACAGAAGATGAAGCAAAAGAAGTCCATCGAAGCCTAAAAATTGCAGCGGGGATTTTTAAACATTTAAAGGTAAAGCAATATGACAGTAAAATGTATTCCTCTTGCTTTAATTCTTGATTAAATTTTCTTCCTTTGGGGGCTGGAGGAAAGAATTATTTCACTATGTAAAAAGAATCTACTCTATGTCCTGTTTTTCTTACGTTAAGTACTTTGTTGATGAGTGCAGCCAGTTACAGAATCTCACATGTCTTCATTTCAGAGAGTCATCAGTTAATTTTGTTTTTTATTTTTATTTTTTAAAGTTTTTGTTTAAGTAATCTCAGTACCCAACGTGGGGCTTGAACTCAGGACCGCAAGGTCAAGAGTCACATGCTCAGGGCAACTGGGTGTTTCAGTTGGTGGAGTGTCTGACTCTTGATTTTGGTTCAGGTTGTGATCACCGTGTACTGGGATTGAGCCCTGCGTCGAGCTTTGCGTTGGGCATGGAGCCTGCATGAGCCGCTTTCTTTCTCTCTGTCTCCCTCGCTTGTGCTCTCTCTTGCTAGAGTCACATGTTCTTTTGACTGAGCTAGTCACACACCCTATCAGTGACTTTTACGATTGGAAAAATCAAGCTGGAATCACCTATCTCTTTGGAAAAGACAGGAGAAAACAAAGTACACACATTGATGGTTCTTACCATCTGGGTGCAGCAGTTGCCGGGATAGTCATGGTCCTGCAAAACTGAACTTCTGAGTGTATTCTCTGTATCTCAGTGAAAATGTTGAAGGGCAGTCAGCCTGCACTCATTATATTAAATTGCCTGGAGCTGTGATGGAAATTAGAGAAAAGACTAATGTATTTAGTAATCAGGATTATCCCCACTTCATTCTAATTAAACTGATATTTACTGAACGCCTTCCAGAGGCCAATGATGGGCTCTCTCATGATAAAATAGGATGCAGGGGGCGCCTGGGTGGCTCAGTTGGTTAAGGACCCAGATGTTGATTTCTCTCTTGGTCGTGAGATTGAGCATTGGGTCTGCACAGTGCAGAGCTTGCTTGGGATTCATTCTCTCTCTCTCTGCCCCCTTCCCTCCCTCCCTCTCCCTTCGTCTCCCTCCCCCCTCCCCAGCTCATGCTCTCTTTCTCAAAATAAATAAACATTAAAAAAAAAGATGTTTTTACAGTAATTAAAAACCTGTGATCCTGAGTTATCTATTAAATTATAGACTTCTTTAGACTCTGCTATTATTAATGAGTGAATAATTCTAGCCATCATGCAAAAGAGAACTTTGGTTACTGTTTCAGTTAAACATTTTCTAAGATGAAAATACACATATCTAAGCTATGTGTTTTGGCCCAAAGTTTGCAGAAGTTTATGAGAAGCTTTAAGTTTTAGTATACAGGAACTTTTATTCTCTATAAGCTTAATATCGCTCCTCTTTACACAATTTTGCTGTCCGGAATTTTTCTTTTCTTTTTTTTCTTCCCCCTTCAAGACTTTTATTCTAAACACTGTGGGGCTTGAACTCATAACCCCGAGATCAGGGATTGCATGCTCTACTGACTGAGCCAGCCAGATACCCCCTGAGTTTCTGATAAATCCCCAAATTGAATGTCTAATAACTTCCATTTTGTTTATCTGTAACAATTGGGTTAAAATAAAATTTGACTTCTTTATTTTTGTTTCTCTTTCTCTCTCAGGAAAGTCATATCCCAAAGCTCATTACACCTGTAGAGAAGGGGAGGGATTTAGAGGCACGGCTCCTGGAAGCTTATGTTGTCCAGTGTCAGGCAGAAGCTCAAGAAGGTATCCTAAATATTGTAAGATTATGCTTTTTTTTTTTTTTTTTTTTAAAAAAAATCTAAACGGGGAAATAATTATTTTTTTTTTTTTTTTTTTTATCAGAATTAGCTGAATTTGAGTTTCACATCTTGAGAAATTTCTAGTGAGGAATAATTTCACTGTCAGCATTTGCCTTCATGCATGGTTTATAGGAAAAGGCCTTGCAGTTTAATGGATCTTTTAAGGATTTTAATTTCATGCCATTTCTGACAGCAACAGATGAATTATGTAGCTCCTCTTTTCCCCGATCTCCCTTGCTCATTTCTTTTTCTCTTCCACTGTTTGCCTTGCCTTTCTTCGCCTTTCAGTGGCAGGAAGTAAATGAAGACTCCTGTAAAAGCAACAAAGAAACTTTGTAGGCTTTTTGTTTTTCTTTCAAATTCCAGTGCCCTGGAGGGATTCGTTTTCCTCTGACACGCTACTTTGTAGTAGTAGTTTTTTGTGATCTAGTAATTAGCTCGTGATTTAAAGAAATAGTGTCAGAACCAGCAAGCTTATTAGTGTTTTCTGTTTCTGTTTGCACTTTTTGTAACTTACTTTTCCTGTTAAAATTCTTGACAAATTGTTAAAATGCCAAATAGATTGTTGGGATGGCTTTTGCTATTACAGTTAACTTAGTATGAATGCAAGTGAACTTAATTATGCATTCACTTTGCTGTGCTTTGGTGACAGTAACAATCGCTCGAGCAATTGAACTGAAACACGCGCCCGGCCTAATTGCTGCACTGGCATATGAGACGGCCAACTTCTATCAAAAAGCTGGTGAGTTTATAATTCTCTTGTTGTATTTTTAGTCTTTAGATGTTCAGATTAAGCTCATGGTTTAATAGGGAATAAGCAAAACAAAAAGATTCTCTAGGTTATTTCTTCATTTGCAAAACTGGAATAATGTCTACATTATTTTATTAATCTTGGTTAAAAGAATGAGAGCTGTTCACAGTTAATATGCTGCATAACTGTTAATGGAGAGGCCAGTGTTATAGTTCTTAACCAGTTATATGTAATAATTACACAGGTGTTTTAGTTTCGAAGTTTTTTGGGTCTTTATAATAACCTTATGGTTGTCATGAAACCAAACTCCAGAGAATTAATATAACTAACCTATAATTTAACTGTTAGCAGGCTGGGAAGTTAGGACTAGAACTCAGGTCTTCTCAGTAGCCTGTTATTCTTTTCATTCACTTATTCAGGAAACATGCATTTATTTTTGTTTATGGGATGGTTACTACTCGAGTTGCTAGCTATACAAAGATCAGTGTATAGACAGAGTCACATCTAGGGAAGGAAACAAATGTGTATCCACATTATAATAGCGTAAGATAAGATGTGACTACAGCAGTGAAATGAAAACCTCAAGGATCCAGGCATGCTAGAGGAGGCTTTCTATGAGAAGGTGGTGTTTGGGCCTTATTTTGAAATATAAATAGAAGTTTTGAGTTTACTAGGAAGCTTTAGCATATGGGAAAAGTAGAACATTCTATAGTATGTACAGAGATAAGAAGAATTTGGCACATTCTGGGACCTTTAAACAGATGCTCTTAGCTGAGGCACAGGATGAGTGATAGGAGAAAAGGTTAGGAAAGTTTGCACGTGTGAGATCATGAATTGGTTTGTAGCCTTAGAAGTTGGGCTTTTATTTGGTAGATCATGGACCCATGAAAAGGTATAAAGCAAATCTGTTTTGATTGGATTTGAATTTAGAAAAGCTCTATAGGGGCACCTGGGTGACACAGTTGGTTGAGCCTCCAACTTCGGCTCAGGTCATGATCTCACAGTTCCTGAGTTCAAGCCCCACATCAGGCTCACTGCTCTCAGCACAGAGCCCATATTGGATTCTCTGTCCTCCTGTCTCTGCCCCTCCCCCACTTGTACTCTTTCAAAAACAAAATGTTTAAAAAAAAAAGAGGGGTGCCTGGGTGGCTTGGTCGGTTAAGCGTCCGACTTCGGCTCAGGCCACGATCTCACGGTCCGTGAGTTCGAGCCCCGCGTCAGGCTCTGTGCTGACAGCTCAGAGCCTGGAGCCCGTTTCAGATTCTGTGTCTCCCTCTCTCTCTGCTCCTCCCCTGTTCATACTCTGTCTCTCTCTGTCTGAAAAATAAATAAAAACGTTAAAAAAAAAAATTTAAAAAAAATCCCTATAATTGCAGGATGAGAAATGGGCTTGTGAGGTGAAGGCTGACTCCACGTAGTGTTAAGGAAGAAGGGATCGTAGTCTGTGGAGGGACAGAAGCTTTGACAAAACAGAGAAGTAGGGAGCAGAGGAGAAATGGATGAGAGAGAAGTTGGCAGGATGTGAATGTGCGTGTTAGGGAAGGTTCAGCTTGGGGCGATGGACCAGGAAGGAAAGTGTCTGCTGCTGACTGGGGTTAGCACACTATGCAGTTTGCTATATTATATAACGAAAGGAAAAAGTGTTAACAGTGTAATTTATATTTTTCTTAAAGTTCTATTTTTATCATTATTTTAAGCCTAAGTTGCATTACCTATCAAAGGAGGTGACATGGTATTCAAACAGTCTTATTACGCAGTTAAAGTATAGTTATGGGAAAATCACTTTAAAGCAAAGTTTTTTTTAGAAAATATGTAAATGCTTTAGTTTTAGACTTGAATGGCATTCTGCTTTTAGCATCTGAACTAAATGATCATGAACACATGAACTAAAAATCTTCTAGTGAATCGGGGTGAAATTATATTTTGCTTTTTAAAATGTAACTTTAGATCATGCTTTATCCAGTTTGGAGCCTGCATACTCTGCTAAATGGAGAAAATATCTTCACTTGAAAATGTGTTTCTACACGGCTTATGTAAGTACTGATAACCTGAAAACCAGTGTAAATTTACTGTCTTTCTAGCCCCGTGCTTGCTAGGTCTGTCATTTTGTAAATTAGCATTGCATAAATAATGGAAAGCTGTCAAATGTTTACCGACAGCCAGTGCAACTCTTGTGAGCTGAGGTGGGTGGAAAGAGACGACGGAGAATTGTAGCACTGGGTTATAGTGATGGAATTACTATTTGATTCAAACCCACTTTTTAGTATTTTTTATTATTATTTCTTTAATTTTTATTTATTTTTGAGAGAGAGAGAGTGTGAGCAGGGGTGGGGCAGAGAGAGAGGGAGACAGAATCGGAAGCAGGCTCCAGGCTGCGAGCTGTCAGCAGAGCCTAACACAGGGCTCGAACTCACAAACTGCAAGATCATGACCTGAACCAAAGTTGAATGCTTAACCAACTAAGGCAGGCCCCCTAAAACCCACTTCTTTTTAAAGTTTATTTTATTTATGTATTTATGTGTGTTTATGTAAATATAAAATTAATATATAAATATATATATTTATGTCTATATTTATAAAGTTTACTTTTTCATCTTGAGAGAGAGAGGGAGAAGATAAGCGGGGGAGGGGCGGAGAGAGAGGGAGAGAGAGAATCCCAAGCAGGCTCCATGTGTCAGCACCAAGCCAAACCATGAGGTCATGAAGATATTTACTTATCCTGATCTTAAGGCATACCACACAACATATCCCCTCAGTCTGTGAAGAAACCTTAATAAGCACTCTTTTAGAAGTTACTTATCAGTGTCTTCCACCCACCAAACAAACTCACTTGTTTGTTGGTTAGAATATCATGTGAGAGATAATCAAACACCTTTTTCAGACCCGGGTAGATACTTTTATTTCTTCTACCTTGGGATCTGTTTTCAGGCATACAGTGTTGGACCATGTGCAATGCTTGGGTTTGATACAGACATTTAGAGTGAGCATGTTCTTTTTCAGGCTAATAACCTTTCTCTTGAAACCTGTTTAGTTATTATTAACCTTAGAATCCTCCCTCCCTGTCCCTCTGCATTAGCACAGTAATTTCCCTCCTTTATCTGCAGTGCCCAAATCTTAAAAACCAATTTCATTATTGAAAAGTACTTTTGGGGGCGCCTGGGTGGCGCAGTCGGTTAAGCGTCCGACTTCAGCCAGGTCACGATCTCGCGGTCCATGAGTTGGAGCCCCACGTCAGGCTCTGGGCTGATGGCTCAGAGGGATTCTGTGTCTCCCTCTCTCTCTGCCCCTCCCCCGTTCATGCTCTGTCTCTCTCTGTCCCAAAAATAAATAAACGTTGAAAAAAAAAATTAAAAAAAAAAAAAAAAAAGAAAAGTACTTTTGGGGCTCCCAGGTGGCTCAGTTGGTTGAGAGTCTGATGTTGGCTCAGGTCATGACCTCGTGGTTCGTGAGTTCTAGCTGTGCCTTGGGCTCGCTGCTGTCATGGAAGAGCCCACTTCAGGTCTCCTGTCCCCCTCTTTCTCTGTCCCTTCCCTGCTTGCACTCTCACTCAAAAATAAATAAATCTTAAAAAAAAAAAAAAAGCACAAACATTAAATTTTGCGGGGCGTCTGGGTGGCTCACTTGGTTAAGCATCCAGCTCTTGATTTTGGCTCAGGTCAGGATCCCAGCCCAGGATCCTGGAATCGAACCCCGCGTTGGGCTCCACGCTGAGCACGGAGCCTGCTTGGGATTGGAATTCTCTTTCTATCCCTCTGCTCCTCTCCCCTGCTCACGTTCTCTCTCCAAAATAAAAATATACATATGTTAAAAGAAAATCCTTTTTCCTCTCACCCCATGGTTAGAAGGTTAGTTTGGTTCAAAGCGTGACATAATCCCACTTTTTTTATACTAGCAGAGATTGGGGGAAGTTTATTCAAGTAAAGAAATGTAAGGGATGCCATTGATATTCAAACAGTGGATGAAGGTCCGCTTCATCTGATGCATTTGTAAAACAATGATAGCAGAAAGCATCGTTTGGGGAGAGAATGAATAAGAATTTCTTCCTTTATCAGGCTTACTGTTATCACGGTCAGACTTTGTTGGCTAGTGATAAATGTGGCGAAGCAATCCGGTCTCTCCAAGAAGCAGAGAAATGTAAGTATTGCTGCCAGAATATTAACGCCCTTCTTAAACACAAAAGTTTTATCATGAAAGAAATAGGCAGTTAAAAGAGATTTTGGCTGAGTTCATGAAAGAGGATGGGAACTCACGTGAGGAACTGGAGAGAGAGAACGTTTCAAAAACCAGAAAACCTGTAGAAAACAGCCCCTTTCCCTTACTCTATTACTGGTATCACTGTCACACTAGGTAAGGAGCAGAAAAGTTGCCATCATCTCTGACTTAAAGCTTCCTTAGTATAAACGATAAGCAGATGATTTTATATCCCTTTCACCTGCAGTTTATGCAAAGGCAGAAGTACTGTGCAAAGAATATGGAGAAACCAAGGGACCTGGGCCAACGGTCAGACCCTCAGGACACTTGTTCTTTCGGAAGCTCGGAAATCTTGTGACAAACACCCTAGAGAAGTGTCAGAGAGAGAATGGGTTCATGTGAGTACAGCTCGGTGTTTTGGCAGTACGAATGCTAGCGTGTGTATCTACAGTCACAGCGTTTAAATAGCAATACTGTTGTCACAGGCTCCCAGTCTCTGCCCCACTTTGTGTCACATTGCACTCAACTCGAATTTTCTCTTTAAATTGGTGGTAAAGTTCCCTCCTGTTGGACCTCGCTTCAACCTGCTTCTGATACATATAAAAGCAGATGTTACAACTTTAACATAGGTTATTAACAAAGAGCTCACTTACAGTGTCTCAGTTTTCTCTTCTTCATTTCCCTGGTGTTTCTTCCCTGCGAGTTATATGGAGCTTCTCTGCTGCTCTCACGTAGGCATCCCACCCTGCTCACAGCCACCTGTAAAGCAGGGAAATGGGTTTTCTGTCCATCCTGCCTAGTCCTGTCAAGCAGTTTTCCATTGTGAGGTCAGCATTGTTCAAACTGCAGATGACCACCTATGTAGATGGGTAGAATCTGTCTTGTCCCTGCTTTTTCTCTTTACAGTCTGCCCCTTAACATGCCGCACCTGGTCATACCCAGCCCTTTTACTTCGTCAAATATGCCTAGTATAACTTGCCTTACCCGTTTTGGAAAGCATTCCTGAACCTCCCTCTTCCCCCGACAGCATGTTCTCACGGCATGTGATGTCCGTCAGAGCTTCTGTTACGTTGCATTGTAGTGGACAGGTTTCCTGAGTGTCTCATCTACTCATGCACGCCGCATGAGGCAGGAGAATCTTCTCTGTCCTATCATTAAATGGTCTCTTTCTCGCACAGGGCCTTGAACACAATAGCCGCTCAAGTAGTTAATGAATGAATTGCTGTTTAACTTGCTTTTTGCAGTTACTTTCAAAAAATTCCAACAGAAGCCCCACAGCTGGAACTCAAAGCAAATTACGGTCTCGTAGAGCCTGTACCTTTTGAATTCCCTCCGACAAGTGCACAGTGGACACCGGAAACGCTGGCCTCTTTTGATCTCACCAAAAGACCCAAGGATGACAGTGTACGAGACTGGCTTTTTTCCGTTTGTTCACAGAGGTTTAAAAAGAGAATTCAGAGTTAGCATTTTGTTATTTTTCTCTACTTAAGTAGATCGAGATATATACACATATGTATCTTTGTCTAAATGTTAAGTTAGCTAACTGCAGTGTTGGTGTGATGTGTGTTGTTGAATTGTGTCAGAGATTCGATCTCTAGGCCTTAATTATCTTCTGATTTCTTACATAACTGAGGCTGTTTTCAACACATTATCTTGCCTTTTTACAATTTATCAGAGCCTCCTTTAGGAACATGTGGGAGAAGTCGTCTAAGGATGGATGGCTGATCCGTGTTTATATTGCTATAGCAATATTCTGTTTTTGATTTAGCTGCTGCAGGGTATTTGAAGATTTGACCTTATTTCAACGTTCCATGAAATCATCCAGGGGTAAAATAAGACTGCTTTTATTCATTTATATCTAAGTACATGTTGGTGTACTAAATCAAAGATGAGATTAAGTGGGAAATTTATGGTCTGACTGCCCGAAGAGGAGGGGTCTGTGAAAAATAGGGAATGGGAATAATTTGCAGCCATAGCTCCTTCCTTGACATTGGGTTTTTATATAATTTCCTACCCATTCTGAAACCATTAGTACTTAAAATGACTGTCTTTTTATCCTGGTCAGCCTCTAAAATAATGCAATACGAAGTAGCCTGTTACTGTCCTGAGATATTTTCAAACTTACGAGTTCCACATGCAGAGACTCATCACTCAGTTCCTCCGTCCTCAGAAAGAGTGCAAGCACCATTAGCTTGATGTTTGCCTGCCTAGGTTTTCATCTTCACTGAAGCGTTGCTTTCTGATTACTTCTTAAATTGAATTGATATGTAGCGTTTGGAAAAGCTTTGTTAATTTCAGCGTTGGATAATTTAATACAACATCTTTAAAAAGCCTAAGGTGGGGGCTCCTGGGTGGCGCAGTCAGTCAAGCGTCCGACTGTGGCTCGGGTCAGGATCTCACGGTTCGTGAGTTCGAGCCCCGTGTCGGACTCTGTACTGCTGGCTCAGAGCCTGGAGCCTGCCTTGGATTCTGTGTCTCCCCCTCCCCCGTTCACGCTCTGTCTCTGTCTCTCTCTCTCAAAAATAAAATAAACATAAAAAAATTAAAAGTAAAGATAAATAAAAATAAAAAGTCTAAGGTGGAAAAGACCTAGTGTTTGTTTTCCAGATCTTAGTTTATTATGTACTTAAAACTGTATTTCTTTTTCTCCCTAGACCAAACCCAAAGCAGAAGAAGCAGTGAAGCCTGTCAGAGAACCAGATACCAGACCTCAGAAGGACACGGGATGTTCCATCTCCTAAAATACACTGATGAAATGTGCACTTCGAATTTCTCTACTAGTAGATAAGATAAACCCCGGGACTTCAGTTCGTATTTCTTAAAAGGTTTTCTCTGAAGCCCGTAGAATGATTTAGTACATTCGGAGGGAATCTGCCTTCAGTTTATTTGTTCTTGATTTTTAATATAGTAGAGATGTTTCGTGCTTTGTTTCCAAACCCTTTTTAATCAGGACAACATGTAAAAGATTTTACTGTGCCCCTGAAGGGCGTATTTGGGGGTTGGGTTTTCTTTTCTTCAAAGTCTGGGTTGTCGTAAGTTTCAGGTTAATATAGGCCAGAATCACGTGGCGTCAGGTATGTCTTTCTATCTTCACACACAAAAAGTTTTATTTTCCTTCCTCGTACCTGATACCAGAAGAATGACAGGAGTTGGTTTTTAACAGTTTTCTTCCTCTTTCCATTATGTTGTCACACAGACTTGTTGTGTTCTCTTCCCATCCCTTACATTTGTAAGAAGCTATAATTTGTTCCAAAAAATCAGTGTTTATAGGTATTTTGAGACCATTTAAGAACTTCTGTTCTGGTAGCCCTGCACTTTATTTCAGCTTCAATAAACCTACAGTGATTTTTACAAGTACTTTTTCTAATGGGTTTTTTACTTCGAGGACAGAACTTTGTGACAGCTCTTCATGTTCCCATGTGAGAGAACACAATGAAACATTTTTGCAGAAGTCAGGTATTTCACGATGTAAAGAAAAAACATCAACCCTAAGCGAGATAGGTTGTCCTGAATTACACTGCTAACTCTACTTTTTGGTCACAGAAGTTATGGTTAAGATGCCTTCGTTACTGATTTCAGTGTGCGTTATTTCTATATGGTCTTCTAATTTACACATCCTATCAGAATCGTATTGCTTTAGGCCAAAGGCCATAGCAAAAACAAGAGCAAACATATAGTATGAACTTAAAATCAGCTTGTAATATTTGAAACAGTTTAGCGTGTACACAGACTTGGGAAATAGTGGATGCATGCTGCTTTAACAAAAGTCACACGTCTGTAGTATTATCTTTTTTGATTATTCTTCTGGGGCGTTAGCTAATTTTCCTATTACAAATGACAGATTGGTTCACTTAATAGAAATAGTGTATATTGAGAGCTTACTACGTGCCCGGCACTCTGCTCAACACTTACGTAGGTAAACCATTGACTCCACGTGGTAGCCCTGTGACAGACAAGTGAAATCTGCATAAGGTGTTGAAATAGGAGTAAACATTTCATGGTGAAGAATAAAGAGATTATTCCTACCTGAATCAGTATTGTGTGCAAAGAATTACTTAAGTCGTAGTTTTCACTCTTGAAAACTACGAAGAATCAGTGAGAGTTTTTTTTAATATACGGAAACGCTAATAACTACTGTATAGCATTTAATATTTGAAACTGCAGTTTCTAGAATAAGTGGAGTAATAACTGGACTTTTACCTTTATTTTGCTGTCTACAGAAACATACTTTAATGAAATTTCACTGTATATTACGTGACACTACAAAATCACTCGTCTATTTGCTGTTTGCCATTTATGGACAAAACTTTAAACTTGTGCCGGCTTGTTCTTCTCGGCCTCGTAGGACCTATTTATCTTGGGTACTAGTACTCATTAACCTAGTTGCTAAATTTTCACGTTGACACGTGGGGGTTATACTACCATATATGGAATGAAAACATGTCATATGTTCAGTGCTTTTGTAAAATGCAGGAAATACTGGTATTACTTTAAATCAATAATTGGCAACTTCGACATGAGCAAGTAAGAAATACTGTGTTGACTGAGCAAAAGTGACGCTTTGTGACTAAAATACCCCATTATATATCTTCTTTGAAGTGGCGTTGGAAATTTGGGAAGGTGACACACATCAAGCAGCTGCATGAAGGTTGTAGAGGGTGTAACTTTGTGTTAAGTGTTGCGTATATTTTCACCCTTCGTTTAAACTGGATAATGACCGCCAACAAAAGTGTTGTTTGTATAATGCATTATCTTTTTATTTATGAAAATAAAAGTAATTTTACTTATAATTTCATTGGGATTTTGTTTTTCGATAAACATTTTTACACTTATTAAACCAGTTACCATTAATACAATGCAAAAACCCTAATTCTTCACAGTAAAGTTTTAAAATGACACACATTTGCATTGTTGTACGCTACATGAGTTCATTAAATATTCAACGCTCCTCAATCTATTTGGCTTTTATTTCTGTTTCTTGGTACTTAGCGCCACTGAATGGCAAAGTAGGATCGGAGTTGGCCTGTGTCTCCCTTCCTCAGCACAGTCCAGCACCATGCAGTTCTGTGGACTGGGAGACTCGGCTGGAGAGCCCGTTGTGGCTGTGCTGTGCTCTGTAGAAAGCTGTCCTTTGGAAAGTTGAGGTGGGTTTCCAGTACTGTATAAATGTACTGAGAAATACAACCCCATTCAGAAATGGTGCCTCATTTTCCAGGGTGTGCTTTACAAAATCACACATTTCCTACCTCTTTTAACATGTGCGTAAAAATAAACTTGCAATGTCACGTGGGTTACCGTGATTTTGTGTTGACGGACTTGTGATACTTGAGTAATTTGCTCAGCATTTACATTTTTATTTTAAAAAACAGTTTAGTAGCAAACTAAAGGGACTAAAACAAGGGGAGCCTACTCTGAATTGTAGAACGAAAACCCACTTACAAGGCCAGCGACACTGCTTCAATGCGGTTCAGTGTATCCAATGCCTTTGCTGTGCTTGAGGTGGGTGTAAGTTCATAGTGTCGATCAGAGTGCACCCCCCCCCCCCCGCCACCCGCCCCGGAGAAAATGTTCACCAGTGGCTTGAGTTTTATTCCCTAGAGCTTCATAGTAGTTTGCCTCAGGCTTCTAGGGCCAGCTGGGCAGGGCCTAAGGTGGCCGGAGCTCCCAGGCTGGTCACCTGGGAATTTCAGAGAATTCCCACCATCACCTGCCATGATGTAGAAAAAGTTGAGAAATGCCTTGATGGCAGGGGCATGTCA